GACCTGACCACTCCTAGAACTTAAGTCTCTCTACAAGGGCGCTTGGGTGCAGCCATAAATAACCCTGCCAGAGCTGCATCAGTTATAGGAATGTGACATCACCTTGGGCTCAGATGAGCACCAAGATGCACTACTCCTTGCCTGGCACTGATGTCCTTGCACTGGCCAACCTGCCAGTTGTAAGCATCTGAGTCTAGAACCTCCATCCCTAGGTGTCTGATGAACTTGGGCCAATACCAGGGTGGAGGATTGATCTTTACCCCATTCACCCCTCATCACCTTGGGAAGAGTTGGTGAAAACTCTCAGGTGGCTCTGTTGGCTCCTATAACACTCGAAATGTCAACTGCAACCCCAATTCAGATTATGGTAGCATCAGGAGGGCCCCAAAGTAAAACCTGCAATTGCTGCTCATTTTGGTCACTAACATGGCAATGAGAGGGGTTCATACTAATGAAGTATCTAGCTCTCATGCTCCCTCTGTTTAGATGTAGGTTATTTAATTAAAAAAATCAGGGATAGACCATAGACAGAACTATAGTTCAGGTACAAAACCACTTTACAAAGTAATATGCAACAAATTGCTATTTAAAGACACTTAGTCAGGAATAACACAGGCTCCAATCTCTAAACATTTCCCTTTTAATTCCAAACTAGATTATCCCCGTCCCTTCTTAAATTGGACACTGGGATCTGATCTAGTATACTCTCCTGACTCAACAAGGAGTACCTGTGGCACCTTAGGCTAACAAATTTATTTGGGCATAAGCTTTTGTGGGCTAAAACCCACTTTCAGACACATGGAGTGGAAAATACAGTAGGGAGATGTACTGTGTATGTATTTTATTTATATAGTATGAAAAGATGGGAGTTGCCTTAGCAAGTAGGGTGTCAGTTCTAATGAGACAATTCATTTAAAGTGGGATATTATCAACAGGAGGAAAAATCACTTTTGTAGTGGTAATCAGTGGTTCTAAAGCAGAAGTCAACAGGCTTCAGCATCCTGCTGTTTGCCTCAATACATTAGACTTGAGAAGATGAAAGGCCCATGACCACTGGGAGGGAGGCCAAATTTTCCAGAGATGTTCCAGCTAACAAACCATTGGGGAGAACTATCCCCTTTCAGATGTAAGCACAGGCTAAAGGCTCTGGGCTTCCAACCAAGGGAATCTGCAAGAGAGGCATCAAATGACTTTAATGTCCACTAGCTTAATATTTGGTGTGAAACAACTCTCCTCTACACCTAAAATCATGATGCACATATAGCTCCTTCCTCAATATGGGTAGGGCCTAATTTGAAGCAACAAAGGGGCTTCAGTTCTCCCATGCCCCTGCTTGCCTGTGTAGTTATACACTTCATCTCTCTAACAGGACTGCCCATGACTGCTGGAGCACCCAGGGTGCTAGCTGTTGCTGGTGTAGCACTTGCGGGAACCCTGCTCATGATACTTGTCTCTGCAATGTAGTGAGTACAAAGAAATGCAGCCTGAAATTACATTGCAATAAACACTTCAGACGTATCTGCCATCTTTGGGTCTCTCTGGTCAGCTGGGAGGCAGCTGCTGCTGGGGTGGGGCAGGCAAGGTCTCATACTCGACTGAATTGAGATCCCAACGTGTAGCCTTTGACAAGGTGAGTTTCTCTCCTTCCTGGTGCCTGAAATTTCCCTCTCAGTGCACATTAGAATGGTCTCCATTGAGGTGCATGACCAAGGCCACTACTAGCACCCAACTACACAAAGTGGTGGAACACCTGCTGCCTTGTCAGCATTCTGAACAGATTGCCTTGTCAGGCTTCACCTGGCTGTAGCCTCCTGCCTTGATTGTTAATGTACTTAGCATACAAGCAGGGGCATTTGTACCCCCTTGTGTGTGGGCATGGGCTCCCTTCGCTTTGGGCTTTAAAGACAAAACTTTCTGCCCCAGAAACTCTTCAATTGACAGGATCTGTCTCCACTAAAAAATGAAACCTTCAATTCTCCCCTCCTGGTACAAGGGACACTGCTTCAGTTACAGTGCCCTCAGGTTGCTATTGCATGGATCCCTGAAGCAGTCTTTCAGGGCAACCTGACAGGCCTTGTGGGAGCCCTGGGGAATTGTGAAGAGTCAGTCAAGTAGCAGTAACCTTTCCCAGTCCTTCTCTCAGCACAGAGGCCAGTGTTAACCTTCAGCTTTCTCCTGGCAGGGTGAAAGGCAGGCAGGGTGGTATGTGTCTAGCAGTGGTGGTAGTTGTAAAATTACTACACCACAAGAGCATGAAGCTCAAGAGGTGGAGTGCTACACTCATTTGGACTCCCAACAGCCTAGTGGGACTAAGGTCACCCCATGCCCTAGGATGAGTAACAGTTCCTGCAGAATGATGAATACTTCCCTCTGGGGACAGCTTGCTATGACCTTTCACCCCCAGGCCATCAGCCAAATGAATTCTCCTCCCTGCCTCAAAGGAGTGGCATACTACTTGCAAACACTTCCTGATCCGTTAATGACCAGTTAGACTTTCAACAAAAGTACTGGCTGTCTTACAGCTGCTGAGCTGTAAGAGCTCAGCTGGCTAAGGCCAAAGGTGGCACCCTCTCTTTGTGGCCTTCTCAAGAACTGTAAGAGAAGATGAAGAAATAGATCACTGAAGATAATCAGGCTAAGACTAAAATTGGATTACTTAGGTTGCAGTTTCAGTAGTCCAGACTCTCAGTGGGTATAAGCCACAAAGCTCCCCTGGAGTTGTAAGAACATCAGAGGAGTCTGGCTCTACCACTTCACAGGAGTTAGTAGGATACAGCCGATCTCAAAGCAGTGAGGGCAAAACAGGAATCTAGGGCAAGGGAAACTGAAGTTTTCCTCTGATAGGAAAACTGCAGGAGTATTTAAGAAGAAATGCCTTTAAAAATAAGAGCATCTACATCCTGCTATTATAGAAAACTGTCAAACTGCATATTGGTGTGTTCTCTGGGCCTATGTGCTGACAGAAAGGCAATGAGAACACTTTTCCCTGCTTAAACACAAGATGGCTTCCTTCTTCCATATGGGGGGACAATACTATAATGTTAATGACAGTGTAAAATGTATGCAACTTAAAGGGGAAAAGTGGGCATTCACCCACGAAAGCTTATGCTCCAATACATCTGTTAGTCTTAAAGGTGCCACAGGACTCTGTTGCTTTTTACAGATCCAGACTAACACGGCTACCCCTCTGATACTTAAAGGGGAAAGACTCCCTAGAACTGTCAAGCTATGGGGAATTGGTGAAATAGGTGTTTTTTTTTTTTTTTTTTTTTTGGAACCAACTCTTTCCTTTGAAAGATACTTACTCTTCAGCTCTACTTGTATTTTGCTGAGGGCGTAGGCCAGAACAAAGGGTGTTGCAGAAGCCATCCAGTCCCTTATCTCGAACTGAATTTTTCCATGGAACAAGGACTTGCCCAAAACCAGATGAGTGTAAGAATAGCCATACTGGGTCAGACAAAAGGTGCATCTAGCCCAGTATCCTGTCTTCCAACAGTGGCCAATGCCAGGTGCCCCAGAGGGAATGAACAGGACTGGTAATTATCAAGTGATCCATCCCCTATTTCCAACTTCTGGCAAACCAAGGCTAGGGACACCATCCCTACCCATCCTGGCTAATAGTCCCTGATGAACCTATCCTCAATTAACTTATCTAGGTTGTTTTTTGTTGTTGTTGAACCCTGTTAGTTTTGACCTTCACAACATCCTCTGGCAAGGAATTCTACAGGTTGACTCTGTTTGGGGTGGGGGGGGAACAAAACAAAACCTTTTTTGTTTTAAACCTGCTGCCTATTTCATTTAGTGACCCCCTAGTTCATGTTATGAGAAGGAGTAAATAGCACTTCCTTATGTACTTTCTCCACACTAGTCATGATTTTATAGAGCTTGATCATATCCCCCCTTAGTCATCCCTTTTCCAAGCTGAAAAGCCCCAGTCTTATTAATCTCTCCTCACATGGCAGCTGTTCCATACCCCTTATTTGTTGCCCCTTTCTGTACCTTTTCCAATTCCAATATCCTTTTTTTTTGAGATGGGGATGACCACATCTGTATGCAGTATTCAAGATGTGGACATAACAGGGATTTATGTAGAGGCAATATATTTTGTCTTCACTATCATTTTAGTAATTCGCAACATTGTTTACTTTTTTTGACTGCTACTGCACATTGAGTGGATGTTTTCAGAGAACTATCCACAATGACTCCAAGATCTCTCTTGAGTGGTAACAGCTAATTTAGATCCCATCATTTTATATGTACAGTTAGGATTGTTTTCCAACGTGCATTACTTTGCATTTATCAATATTGAATTTCATCTGCCATTTTTGTTGCCCAGTCACCCAGTTTTGAGATCCTTTTGTAGCTCTTCAGTCTGCCTGGGACTTAACTATCTTGAGTAGTTTTGTATCATCTGCAAATTTTGCCACCTAGATCACTTATGAATGTTAAATAGGACTGGTCCCAGTACAGACCCCTGGGGGACACCACTATTTACCCCTCTCCATGGTGAAAACTGACCATTTATTCCTACCCTTTGTTTCCTATCTTTTAACCAGTTACCAATCCATGAGGACCTTCCCTCTTATCCCATGACAGCTTACTTTGCTTAAGAGCCTTTGGTGAGGGACCTTGTCAAAGGCTTTCTGAAAATCTAAGTACACTATACCCAGTGGATCCCCCTTTGTCCACATGCTTTGTAGGGCATGTACACTTTCATTTAAGCTTTCATTTACAGTGCTGCTATAACAAATTTTAGCTCTGCAAAGTTAGAGAGCAAGCGTCCACTACTGCTGCTCACTGTTCATCCAGAAAGCAAGCTTCTCCCTCAACCTGAAACACCTTCAGGGCAAACTTCAGCATTCAGTTCCTAATCTGAAAGCTTATTTGTTTAAAAAAAAAAAAAATGCTCAAGATTGTCAACCTTTATCATATATAAAGAAATCCATCTGTAATAACTACAGTGAAATGCGTTTTTTTTTTTCTTTTTTCCCCATGGGAAATACTCAGCTAAGGTTGGGGAAATGCTCTTCTAGTATAATATCTTAGGGTAGCACACCAGGGCCTGAGACCTGATTGTGCTAAGTCCACAACCCTTCGATTAGTGTTAAACTGAATACAACTTAATTCTCCTTAATGGGGTACACATAGAAGACCAAGGATCAAATATTCTAAAGGGAGAAGTGTAACAAGAAATTGATAAATGTAGTAGAAAGACAAGTTTGTTATAGTTAGCCCCTCTTTTGATTGTCTGTGTGGGCATTCTCTTTTTGTCCTGAAGCTTAGTCTGCCCTCCAATACCACCTCACTAAAACTCATGAATTGCCAGATCTGGCTTTTACTTGTAATGTTCATATCCCATTGTTACAAATGTAACTACTTTATTTTCAGATAATGAGTCTTTGGTTCCTATCTCATACCTACACTATGTAGCAGTGACACCATAAATATTAACAGTGTCCCATCCATTGAAAGGTTGCTTTTTAGATAACTAAAAGGCAAATAAGTACCATAACTTGCAGAGAGGTCTATACAAATCATTTAGACAAGATACAATCTTCTAGTATTGGGAAATATCTCAATGAAACTGATTATGAATCACCACTTGTTTTCATAATGCAAGATCTTAGCTTTTCTAGCCCATTACATATTTATTTAAGGCTTGTCTACACATGGAGTTATTCTAGGATAAATTGTCAATTTATTCCAGAATAAGTGCCTTTTTCCAAATGTAGCTTAACTTAATCAACTTCCAAAGAATTTCATCAAAGTACAGAATTAGTCTTAAATATCATCTTCTCCTGTGATCTCTAAATCAAAATGACTGTTAGATGCTTCTGTTCTCAGCTACTTTAACAGGATAAACTTGCATAAAGCATGAGAAATCAGTTCTCAGAAACACAATCTGAGTTAGTTTCAAGACATTTGCGATAGAGAAAAGTTTAACTGTAAACCTATAACTATTATTCCCCTTTCAACAAGAAATCTAGATACCAAGACAAACTTAAGAGGATCCAAAACAATGCTCACACCTCTGAAAACAGATCTTTAGACAGTACAGATGGAAACACAATATTTATACTAGACACAGGGCTCTAAGTGAGGAAAAGGAAGCAGTGGAACAAGGGGAATTTCAGGTCCTCCAGCTGTAGAGGAGAATATAGTGTAGGCTATGGAGGAAATTTTCTACAAGGCCATAGGACATATGGAGCTCAGGAAGTATTAAATGTGAACACTGTCTTAGGGCAACTCATAAAAGCTCAGAGTAGATTTCAGCTTTTGACTACAGCTCAATAACAGAGGCAGTAAAAGAACAGGCTTCTGAGAAAAGGGAAGGTTTTCTAGCCTCAGAAGGAATATAGACACAGCAACATTACTAGTCTGATGTCTGCTACACTCAAGTCCTTAGCCAAGGCATCCCTCTGGCTACACGGCTCTTCCAGAATAACAGCTTGCATGTTTGGTGCAGTTCAAACCTTAGGAATTTGACAAGTCAATCTGAGTCATGACCCAATTCTCGTATCTTAGGAAAAAGCGTCCTTTTGTTGTAGAATGTCATCGTTTCTCCAGTTTTTTGTACTTTGCTTCTGCAGAAGAAAAGCAGAATGGTTGTTAGAACTGAGAGGAGGACTAAAGGCTCCAATCCTGTAAGCTGATGCGTAGTCTAGATTCCCCTTGACTTCAGAGTGACAAGAGGCACTTGAGACAGTTTTTCAAAGGTATTTAGGCACCTATAGTTGCAAATAGGTGCTTTTAAAAATACCACTCAGTACCTAACTCCCATGGAAATCAATGGAATTTATGCACATAACCTACTTAGGTGAAATTTTTAAGAGGACCTATCTGCATCTTTAGGCACCAGCTACCTGAGTGCCTTGCAGAATCAGGTGGTGGTAATAAGTATATTGCAACACTAATATACCCAAGTTCTAATACCCTTCTTGCTCTTCCCAGTATATTTCTATTACCCAGTTTCCTACATTCCATACTGCATTTTCAGAGTTCCAACACAGACTAGTTAAATCTCTATGAAAATTACTCCTGGTTTCTTCTATGTACATTGTACAATAGGCTATCCTGCTCAATAGTAACAATACAGGAACATGGTTACCAAGCTTTTTCGAATAGGCATCCAGCTTGTAGGCTGCCTGCTCAAGAGCTGCCACTTGCTCTTCAATTAGGTTGATTTGTTCCAGATACGGCTGAAGACCAGCATCTTAAAAAAAGGGGGGAAAACCAGACCAATCAATTCTTACTAATTCACTGAGAGGAAACAGTTCAGAGCTGAAACAAAGAGCTTCGCAGGACATTGTTTGGTCAGTATATTTTACGGATGACAAAAAGAACAAGTGTCTAGAGTTAAATTTTTATTTTATACTTAAAAATCTAACTATTCTCAACCTCACCACCAAAAAAAAATATACAGTGAGAATTAAATCAATACAAGTATCTTTTTAAATTCTTAATCAGTTTCTAATCAGCTGAAAGCAAATATACTAAGTATGTAGCCCAGTTATGAAAACGAAAGAAGAATCTATTTACTTCACTCACTGTACAGGCATTTTATTACCTATCGTATATAGCTTTATAAATGTATACAAGACAGACAGCTGCACAATGTTCATCACCAATTTTGCATGTAAATCCTAGAAATCTCCAGCTTTCAGCAGTAATCAAGCAGAATTGATTCATTATCTGTATGGATGTTGAATTGCAAAGCTTTACGGTGTTTGGAAAACAAGATCACATGTACATTTCATTGCCATAACCCATAGCTGTGATGGAAGGTATATAACTGACAGTTACACAAACACAGATTTTGAAAATCCACTAACGCTTCCTAGAAAGTCATCTCAATCTTAGAAAGAAACTTTCACTCTTACAGAAACAGGCACTGAATTAAAAAAAAAAAAATGAGGACTCTCCAAAGGTAGATAAGTACATATCCTGGGCTAAGTTCGCTCTAAGATGTGCAGCTGCCTATTAAGCCCAGCAGAGGGGCTCAGATCTGCAGCAGGGAGAGGTGCCCCAGTATGGAATTGCTGTGGTGGGGAGAGGCGCCTCTTCCCCTGGCCATGTGTTGCTGTGGCAAGAGAGGGCTGGGGGGAGTCCTCTCTCTTCCCACCATAGTCCCTGGGCAGCCTGCACCCCAAACCCCTCATCCCTGGCCCCACCCAAGTCCATACCCCCCTGCACTCCAACCCTCTGCCCCGGCCTCATCCCAGAGCCCTCACCCCCCCCCGACATGCCCCACCCCTGAGCCCCCTCCCACATTCCAAACCCCTTGGCCCCACCACATGAATTTTGTTATGTGCACCAATATGGAAGTGATGTGTCACACATCACCTCATATTGGTGCACATAAAATTCATTCTGCACATGGATGTAAAAAATTAGAGGGAACACTGATCCTGGGCCAGGATATTCACAATGATTAGGGTCCTACCAAATTCATGGCCATGAAAAACAAGTCAGACTGTGAAATCTGGTCTTTTGTGTGTTTTTACCCTAAACTATATACTGATTTCACGGAGGAGATCAGAGTTTCTCAAATTGGGGGTCATGACCCAAAAGGGAGTTGTGGGGGGGGGGGGGGGCACAAGGTTATTTTAGGGGGGATCATGGTATTGTCACCCTTGTTTCTCCGCTGCCTTCAGAGCTGGGTGGCCAGAGAGCAGCAGCTGTTGGCCAATTGCCCAGCTCTGAAGGCAGTGCCCTGCCAGCAGCAGCAGAGAAGTAAGGGTGGCAATGCCATACTATGCCACCCTTACTGCTGTGCTGCTGCCTTCAGAGCTGGGCGACCGGAGAATGGCAGCTGCTGACTGAGGGCCCAGCTCTGCAGGCAGCAGCGCAGAAGTAAGGATGGCAATACCATACTATGCCATCCTTACTTCTGTGCTGCTGCTGGTGACGGCTCTGCCTTCAGAGCTGGAGAGCGTTTGCTGGCTGGGAGCCCAGCTCTGAAGGCAGAGCCGTCACCAGCAGCAGCGCAGAAGTAAGGGTAGCAGAACCACACCCCCCCTACAATAACCTTGTGACCCCCACACAACTCCTTTTTGGGTCAGGACCCCACAATTACAACACTGTATTTAATTGCTGAATTTAATTTAGCTGAAATCATGAAGTTTAGTATTTTAAAAATCCTATGCCCATGAAATGGACCACGAATTTGGTAGGGCACTAACAATGATGACAGAAAGCGCCAATATGTCTAGAACAGTTTCCTTTAGGTTACAAATCACTATTTAACCTAATCACATCTTCCATTTTTTCCTTTACCTTCTCCTGTGCATAAACTAAGCAGCTAAAATAACTAGTTGAGACAATAATACTAAGGAAGGGCAAAGTATTTTGGTGGATTAAACCTCTTTATCCCCGTGCCACTGTTGATGTAGATAAATATTATTGTCCCTAATGTACAGATGGGGACAGTGATGGACACAGCTTATGGACCTGAACAAACTCTCCCTCAAAGTTAGTGGAGTCTTTCCATTGACTTTAAGTTGGATCAGACACTAACCTGCCCAACGCCACAGTGGGACTCTGACAGAGCTGGGAATACAACCCAGGGTTCCTGGCTTCACTTCTGCTAACTAATCACAAAACCATCCTTCGTCTCCCATACAAAAGCAAAGGGAGAAGGATTAGTACTATTCAGGGAGCTCCATTCATTTAACCATCAGCTTCCAATGAAACTTATTCTACACTTATCACATATTCTAGGCACATACAGCCTTTACAGAGTCTTCTCTCCTTCGAAAGTTAATGGGAATTTGAACTATTGGCCCCTAGATGCTTCGTTTACTGTGTAACATCCATTTACTAGAGTCATTCCTGACTCGTTTTTACTTACATTTTTGATTTAGGTCCTTCAGGTTTCGACTAATGTTTACAGCAATATCTTTCATTTCCAGATATTTCAAGCTAGTCAGCTTGTTCATATTTTCCAGGAGTTTGTAGTCTTCACTGGTGGCTTTAGAAAAAAGAGAAAATATTTACACCTTTATAAAAACAACTAGCAGAGTTTGGAATCTACGTGCGCACTGTTCAGAGCTGAAGAGTTCAAGGTGACAGCTGATTATAGCTTAGAATATCTCATTCAATAATATGGCTCTTAGCAAGATGCTCCCTAAAAACGAGGAGATCAAATATTGCAGATTGGAATATCAGATGGACTCAAGAATAAATATGTAGCATATTCAGTAAAAAACATGGGCTTATTTTATACATTTCTACAATACCTATCATTCTGGCAGAAAAAAGTTTCTATTTACAAAGCTAAAGGTCTTGATCCTGAAAGTTGATCTGCATGCAGGAACACAAAGCCCCACAGAAGTCAATGGGGCTTCATATAGGGATGGTGGTCTGCCTGAATTAGGGTGACCAGATGTCCCGTTTTTAAAGGGACAGTCCCGTTTTTTGGGACTTTTTCTTATATAGGTGTCTATTACTCCCCACCCCTGTCCAGTTTTTTCACAGTTGCTATCTGGTTACCCTAGCCTGAATGCAACAGCCTGCAGGATCAGGGCTTAAGACACCAGCCAGCTCATTACACTGTTTGTGGTTTTGCATTTTTGTAGAGAAAAATAATAAGAGAAAAATTAAGCTGAAAAAAGTTGGAAAACATAAGAGGTAAGACTTCTGTGTTAACCTTACCTCTGTTGGTTCACATATAGGCTTTGATTTAACAGAGCACCATTAGAAAGGAAGGATGGTCCAGTAGTTAGAGCATTAGCCTAGGACTCGGGGGATCGGGGTCCCTGCTCTGCCATGAACTTCCTATACGACATTAGGCAAGTCACTTAGTCTCTCTACGTTTCAATTCCCTAGTTGCAAAATGGGGATAATAGCTACCTAACCTCACAGGGGTCCTGGGAGGAAAATACAAAAAAAAATAGTGAGGTGCTCAGATACTACAGGAATGGGGGCCAGATAAGTCCCTAAGATAGACAGAGGTGTTTAAGTGCCTTATTGAGTCAGGGCCACAGGCAGTATGAAATGACAGAGGTTCTTTCAAAGTCTGCTGATGTGATATACTTTGGACAAAATGGGTGGCTTGCCAACAACATGCCACCAGGCTATTTGTGGCTTAACAACTTTAGCACAAATGCAATTTACATAAAGTTGCCGGTGCTACAGAGCCAACACCCTGAACCAGCAATTTCTATCCTCTCAACTGCAGCTAATGAGAACAGTAACCCATTTCAGCATGCTTCATGGGATGTTGGCTCTGCCGCATACACACAGTACTTGTTCCATTCAGTAACATGGAGCAGCTGTAGAGATCCCTATAACAGAGTGAGCCGCCAACTGAGCACCCCCTTGTTGTCAAAGATCATTTCATGGAACCTGTCTCTGTCACTCCTGCTTCAGGGGCCTCTTAAATAAACTCCACACCTCTAGTCCAAAGGTAATGTAAGCACTCCCCTTCTTGAGTCCAATTTATTCAGTCCTCTCGGTACACACTGGCACTTCAGGCCCCAACCCCAGTTCAGTGTCTCTCTTCCCCTTAGCTAGGGAATCCCCAGCCCTCTTTCCTGGAGCTGTGTCCCCATTCGGTGACCACTCTCAGGCTTTACCTAGCTGGAGCTCAGCCTTCTAGCTTTGACTTCCAAACTCCCCTGATGTCAGGGTCTTTCTCCTGCCTTAGCAGGCTACTCCTAGTTGGGGTGACCTTGATTTCAGTCTTCCCTGCAGGAGCCCTTCCCAGGTAGTCTTTGCTGCAGCTTCCTGCTGTTCTTAAAGGGGACAGCTGTGGTTCCATTACATGGCCTTTACTTCCCCCACCTATGGACGTGAGTTATACTTGTCACAGGAGAATGGCAGCCCAGCTCAGTTCCAAAGTCAGCTTTGGTCCAAGTCATGAAGCTACAGCATGTTTATAGGTCCCTCTTGCTCTACATCTGTTCCCTCCCCACTGAGGGCTTGTCTATGTGAACACTTAGGACCAGCCTACATTACAATATTAAGTGGACCTAAATTATGTTGACATACAGCCACCGCAGTAATTAAATCGCTTTTGCATGTCCACACTACGCTCCTTGTGTTGGCAGTGCACGTCCTCACCAGGAGCGCTTGTACCGATTTGACTGTCAGCATGGGGCATTGTGGGATAGCTTTCGAAAGGCAGCAACAGTCGATGTAAGCAACGCAGTGTCTACACTGACACTGCATCGACCTAACTACATCGACCTAAGCGCTATGCCTCTTGTGGAGGTGGAGTTATTAAGTCGGTGAAGTGGGCGAGTTACATCAGTAGGAGCTACATTTTAGCATAGATGCGTACAGAGTTAGGGAATAGATTAAAGCACACTAGGGAACTTTTAGCACGTGGCAGCAGTGTCCATGCAGGCACTTAGTGCATGGCAGGCTACAGAGAAATAGATTTACACCTCACCTTGCCACAAATTAAGTGTTCGTACAGACAAGCTCTCAGAAGAAGAAATAGTTAACCTGATTCAGTACCACACTAAAAACTTTTTGAAAGATAAAAAGGCACATCAATCTGGGGTCCTCTTTAGCTTTTCATTCAGATGCTCTGATGTTCTATCTCAACACATGATCCAAGTGGCAGCCATCTAACTGCCCGCTGACAGCTGACATGCGTTAACAGTTCGCTAGAGCACTTTGATCTCGTCCTCTTTGAAATGGGCCTAGCTCAAAGAACATTAATGAACTATTAATGCACATCAGCAGGGTGCATGTAGACAGTTAGATTGGGGCAGGCTAGTGCAAGGTGGATTCACACCCCAGCTTGCCATGGTCTAATTGCTTGTGTACATAAAACCACCAAATTATATTAAGGCCACTTTAATTCTGCCCACGCAGGGGCTGAATGCAGTTTAACTAATCCCCTTTTAATTCACACCTTAATTAATTCAGATTACTTTTCCTGAGTGTCCCTGTGTAGACAAGCCCTAAAACACTAAGCAGCATATTTCTTTTTTTAAACAGTTTATTTCCATGCTAGCCAGGTTTGTTAGTTTCACAGTTTGCCTTACCTGTCAGTTCACCTGTTAAGTAAGTGGCCATTTTGTTAAACATATCCTTACAAAGCTCATTGATATCTGCTTCTGCTGGTTCCTTAGCTTCCTCCGCTGTCTCCACAGCAGGATCCTCTAATCAGGTTATAAATGAACAGTACAGAGGTAAGGGAAAATTAGTCAAATATTGAAGTACACAAAAGATTGTAAAAACAACACAGATCTTTTTGTTACATTTATTTTCAACATAGGGTATACATTTTAGATTAATAAACAATTAACCCACAAAGTTATCTGTAAAATAGCATAAAGTTGATTTAACAGCTTGATTTTAAATCAATAAATATTTTATCTATTTCAGGGGTAGGCCTCTCCAGTTTACCTTATTATTACAAAGGCAAAAATTAACCTTGGCAAAGATTAGATGATGTGAAGACAATGATTTCAGGAAAGATCTTTGAGTCTGATCATTTCTATTGGCTGTGCCTACTGTCATTTTTTTTCATCTTTGATCACTGATAGAGAACAGTTCTCAATGTCCCCTTCAGAAGGTGCTGCAACAGTCCCCCAGTCCTGTCCACTAAACTTTTTCTTCTCCTTCAAATCCCTTTGTAACATTCTTCCTGTTCTTCCCACAAATAATCTCTCCACTGCTTCATTGGAGTAGTTTTCTTCTGCTCTGTATTTGCTTGTATTTTCTTTACATGGCTTGATCCTGAGATATGCCCAAGCACCCATAACTCTAACTGACTTACCTAGGGGCTGAGGGCACTTAGCAACTCCTGGAAGAGCTTGGCATACTGCAGGATCAAGCCCATAGGCAATATGCATTTTGGAGCAGGGAACCAGACTTACTCTATGTTTGGAATAGTGTGATGATAATTTGCATGCTATATAAGCGGTTAGTAAGCATCAGTTCCTTCTGCGAAAAACTGATAGTCTTATTAGCCTGGAATAGCTTTTCATGACAAAACCATAGGCTGCCCATCTAAGTGAAAACATTTTCCTCTCCCTCTTGATGCTTCATCCTTCTCAGTGTCATTGTAAGCAAGGAATATTTGCCAAATAAAGGCTGCAGCAAGTCACATGTGAGACACAGAGAGAAACAGCACCAGCTGCCTGTGACAGAAGACTGGCGCCATCACTCACTTCTGGAAGGTTTAACATTGTGTATGACAGTGGGTGCGCGGCGTGTGGGGAATAAGACTAACTCAGCCTAGTGAAGGACAATCAGCCAAGCCAGCACCGCAGCCCATCACCGTTGAAACAACCCCTGCTCGGTTAGGGGATGGAAACCCTGGACTTTGGCCACAGAGCAATGCCACCCAGTTGGCTCACACCTGCCACAGGTGACGGGTGAACTGAGAGCTCTGGGTGGGGGGGGTGCCCCGTTCCCACGCCAGGAGTCACTAAGGCCAATGGACAAATGCGGGTCCCTTTGGGATGGGAGCTCTGGCCCCTCTCGTAGCCTGGGGGTGCGGGGGGACCAGACCCCAACTCTGCGGGGTCTCCTGGGGCAGGGGCCGAACCCCTGAGACCCCTCCTAGGGCAAGAGCACCAGCCTGCCAGGGGCTCCGCTCAGGGGCTAGAGGCCAGCTGGGCCCAGGGCCCCCTTGGGAGGTGGGGGCACATTAGCAGCGCGGCACCCGGGGGTCACAGCTCCAGGCCCCCAGCTTGGGGCGGGGTCTCAGGTCGGGGAGGGGGCGCGGGTCTTAGGCTCCCCCCGGCCTCTCCCTTACGTTTGGCTACTTGCACCCGGGCCTCCGGCGGACCCTCGGCAGCGGCGGCGGTTGCCATGACGACAGGCCCCCCTCCGATAGACAAATCCCGGCAGCTTCCGCGTTCCCCCGAACTCGCCGAGCGCGGCCCCGCCCCTGCTCCCTACTGCGCAGGCGCGGGAGCATAGCGCTTGCGCACAGACACGGCTGTCACACGTCCTTCTGCGCACGTGGGTGGCACTGGCGACCGGAGGGGCCCTGGTTGTCCTGGGCGGGGCCTCAGGTGCCGGGAGCCTAGTCCCCCGTGCCGGGGATGCTAATGTCCCCCTGGTGTGAGGGGGATGTGGTAGGGCAACCCTCCTGCCAGACCATTTTAAAACCACCGAAAGCTTTATTTCCATTCCCTATGGGGCTCACCCCGAAGAAAGCTCCATCTCATGCTGGTGGAGGGAACCACGCTGCTGGCTGTGGTCCTTCAACAACCCTGGCGGTGCCCTAATGCCCAGCTTAGATGGAGGCGCGGTTGATGTGACACTTGGCGGTGTTAAAACCATCACCAACCAGGCTCTACTGACCTTTTTCTACCCACCTGTACAGCACCTAGCACAATGACTGATCTCAGTTGGGGCCAGATGGTAATATAAATAGCTGTGAACATGTTAATTAATGCCCCTGTAATACTAATGTTGGGGTCCACTAGGCATAGCTACCAGGTAACTCGGGAGAGCGGAAGGCCAAAGTGCCGATGAAGCTCTTTTGCTCTGGGCCTATCTGAAACCCCAAACTCCATCTTGTGAACTCTCGCCTACTTCTGTGCTCACTGCTTACATGCTTTGTAGCATGCTGAAGCAGAAATGTAAGGGTCAGCTTTTCTCTAGCATACAGCTGCTGTTTTGCTCAGGCTGCTGTAAACAGGCCTTGCAAGGCCAAAAGATAAGCAGACGAATGGGAACTTTTCTAATTGTAACTGCTAGAGGAGGGAGGGTGGGGGGAGTAAGAGGGAGTAATAGAACAAAGGCTTACACAGAAATAGTTTGGAGTATAAAAGGTAAAAGTTGTTTGTATTTGTTGCACTGGATTTGAGACATGCGCGTCTCCTAGTGCCATTTCAGAGCTCTGAAATAAACTTGGCTTGCTTTCTCCCCTCGGTGTCTTCATTGGTGCTAAGCACACCGGGCCACGGACCATTGTTGTCCGCCTCGAGCCCTTGAGCGGCCAACAGTTTTGGCGTCCCTGGGTGGGCTCGAGGCTGAAATTTAGCCTTGCCCGGATCCCTCCTGGTGACCGACGGATTACGGCGACGACCGACGCCCAGAGCTCACCGGTGACTTCATCGGGGGCCTTGGCAGAGACGTGATTTGCTCGACCCTGGAGGGCACAACGGTGCAACGCACACAGACAGTGGAGAAGCAGCTGCGGGCGACTGTGGGGAACCGGTCCCGTGGATAGGGCGACGGTGCAGAACCGGACCCTTGGATAAGGTAGGAACAGTCCAGTGGGGACTTTATCTGTTTTGACCTGGGGACGCCCAGTGTCTCCCTAGAGTATGGGGTAGGGGCAGAGTACTGCAGGCAGGGCAAGGTGTACGCCCTTAGAATGCATTCTGGTGAACTGGAAAGTGTTTGGATCGGATCCGTTAATTAAAAGTAAACTGAAAAGATTCTGTACAGTAGACTGGCCTCAATATCAGCTAGAGGACCAGGAAAGGTGGCCACCGGAGGGATCACTTAATTATAATACGATCCTTCAATTGCTTTTGTTTTGTCAGCGTACGGGTAAATGGAATGAACATATGTATGTACAGTTGTTTATGTTGTTAAGAAATAGGTCAGATCTTTTGCAAAGGTGTAATTTGACTCCGACAGGTTCGGTAGTAACTACTGTTAGTCCCCAGAACCCTTCCCCGGTTGTGATGACAGAGTCGGTGTCCCCTTCGGCTCCAACACCCCCACCATATAAAGACAGGGTGCCTCAGGTCCCAGAGATTGCCCCCTAGGTGGGATTCTATCCATTGATTACTGAGACTCGGATAGCCCGTACTGGAACAGATAATCGCCCAGCCACTACAATGCAGGTTTATACCCATGTGCCTTTTAACCCAGTGGACCTAGCAGCCTTTAAGGCACAGGCAGGGGAATTCTCTACGAATCCAAGCAAGTTTATCTCGGTCTTTGAAGGGTGTCTGGCTAGCCATAAGCCTGACTGGGATGACTGTAATATCCTTATGCGGACCCTGCTGTCTGAGGTGGAGCGTAATCAGGTTGTGTCTAAGGCACGGGAGGAGGCACAGCTTAGACATGAGGCAAACGCAGCAAACGTCCCTGTTGCTGCAGTCCAGGTCCCTACAGCAGACCCCCGGTGGAATCCCAACGTGCCGGCGGATCTCACCCGTCTCACTGTATACAAGGAGCTCCTGTTACATGGTCTCCGACACTCAGCTGTCCGAAATAACAATTGGGTTAAGCCGTATGAGCTAGTACAGGAGCCAAAAGAGAGTCCGGTTGCTTTTCTGCAGCATATTCGGGATACCATCAGGCAAACTACTAATGCAAACCCTGATGATCAGGCTACTGAGGCAATTATAAAGGGTATCTTTACCAGCCGTGCTGCCCCTGATATTAAAAGGAAACTGCAGAAAAAGGAGGATTTGATGGGCATGACAATAGCACAGATTCTGGAAACTGCAAACAGGGCTTACAGCCTTAGGGAGGGAGAAAAGGAAAAGAGGCAAGTGAAAATGATGGTTGCAGCAGTACAGGCTGGTGGCAGGGGAAGATTTCAGGAAGGTGGAAGGAGCCGGGGAATGAGAGGACGTGGACGTGGGCGCCCTGGCTTACAGGAAAGGCGACTGGGTCGCAACCAGTGTGCCATATGCCGAAAGGAGGGACATTGGAAAAATGAGTGCCCCGAAAGGGAAGGTACCCCTATGATGGCAGCGGAGGATCAAGAATAGGGGTGTCAGGGGAGACGGACTATCCTGCCCCCGGAACCCCGAGTAAAAATGCGGGTGGGAGATTTGAACATAGACTTTTTAATAGACTCTGGAGCTGCACGAACTGCTGTAAACCAACCCCTTCAGCTGCCTGTGGCAGATTCCCTCACTGTGGTGGGAGCCACAAGGAAAGGAACTAAATGCCCAGTATATGCCCCAGCGGTATGTGCTTTGGGAAACAGAACTCTATCTCACAAACTGGTTTACCTCCCCGATTGTCCAACGCCACTATTAGGACGGGACCTGCTTTGTCGCTTAGGTGCCACCCTGCATTTCACTCACCTTACCCCCAGAGAATGCCTGGATAATGACACTTGCAATTGAGCCCTCAGCTATGCAAGCCCCAGAGTGGAGTCAGTGGGAGAAGCGGGTTTTTCCTCTGGTATGGGCATCAGGGATCCCAGGAAAGGCAGCCCATCATACTCCTATTACTGTTCAGTTCTTGCCAGGAAAAGGTCCGGTGCGAATCAAGCAGTATCCGATCGAAAGGGAAGCCAGAGAGGGACTGCAGGAGACTATAGACCAGTTCCTAAAGTGCGGGGTACTTCGAGAATGCCAGTCAGCTTGGAACACTCCTATCTTGCCTGTACAAAAGCCCAATGGCACATACCGGCTAGTCCAGGACCTGAGAGCAGTTAATGAGCGGGTTAAGACTCTGCACCCCCTTGTTCCAAATCCGTATACATTGTTGGCCTCTATAGGGGGGCAGTACACCCATTTTTCGGTCCTGGATTTAAAGGATGCTTTCTTCACGATTCCGGTTGACCCCCAGTCTCAGGAGATTTTCTCCTTCGAGTGGGAGGACAAAAGGAGGGTTAGAAAGCAGCTTTGCTGGACAGTGCTGGCCCAGGGATTTAAAAATTCCCCCACCCTTTTCAGCCAGGCCCTGGCTAGAGACTTGGAGGAGTGGGACAACGAGGACAAAGTCCTCCTCCTGCAATATGTGGATGACTTGTTAATTGCTGCTGTGGGTCTAACCTCTTGCCTTAAAGCCACTGTGAGCCTCCTGAACTTTGTTGGACTCCGAGGATATCGAGTAGCACAGAGTAAGGCTCAGATTGCTCCCCCAGTGGATGGAATCTGACAACGGAACACACTTCACATCCCAGGTCGTTCAGAAGATATCCGATGCCCTACAGATCCCCTGGAAGCTCCACACGCCATGGCGACCGCAGGCCAGTGGGGTAGTGGAGCGTACAAATCAGACTCTTAAGCGGCACCTCTCAAAGGTTTGCCAAGAGGCTTCCCTTAAGTGGCCTGATGCTTTGCCCCTTGTTTTGCTCCGCATTCGTGCTCTCCCAAAGGGCAGGTTAGGGCTCAGTCCCTTCGAGATTATGTTTGGAAGGGCATGGCCTATGAATGGTACACCGGTTCTGGCAGGGGAGTGGGAAATGGGGTGTGGCTTCTTATCTCAGTACATGTGCTCTCTGTCTGCTGTTCTTTGTTCTCTCCACAGGTATACCAAAGATTTGCAGCCTCTCCCGCTGGATGCCCCGATCCACTCCTTGCAGCCAGGCGATTCCGTACTCGTTCGGACTTGGAAGGACGAGCCTCTCCAAGGCCTGGTCTACACTAGGAGTTTATGTCGAATTTAGCGCTGTTACATCGAATTAACTCTGCACCCGTCCACACCACGAAGCTATTTAGTTCGACATAGAGGTCTCTTAAATTCGACTTCTGTACTCCTCCCCAACGAGGGGAGTAGCGCTAAATTCGACATGGCCATGTCGAATTAGGCTAGGTGTGGATGGAAATCGATGCTAATAGCTCCGGGAGCTATCCCACAGTGCACCACTCTGTTGACGCTCTGGACAGCAGTCCGAGCTCGGATGCTCTGACCAGCCACACAGGAAAAGCCCCGGGAAAATTTGAATTCCTTTTCCTGTCTGGGCAGTTTGAATCTCATTTCCTGTTTGGACATCGTGGCGAGCTCAGCAGCACTGGCAACGATGCAGAGCTCTCCAGCAGAGATGGCCCTGCAATCTCAGACTAGAAAGAGGGCCCCAGCATGGACTGATTGGGAAGTCTTGGATCTGATCGCTGTGTGGGGCAATGAGTCTGTGCTTTCCGAGCTGCGCTCCACAAGACGGAATGCAAAGATCTATGAGAAGATCTCTAAAGCCATGGCAGAGAGAGGATACAGCCGGGATGCAACGC